GGTTTCAGGCGAGGGAATAAAATGACAAGTTCTTCCTTTTTGGAGGATCAGACAGGCAGGGAGGCCAGCTCAGAGGTGGCTGCAATGGATGAAGTGTGAAGAACTGGAGGAAGGGAAAGGGGACAGGTGGTTGCAGTGCCCGGGGGGCTGCGGGGCCTGTAGGAGGAAGGGAATGCCCAGACTTCCGGTGTGAAGAGGAGCGGGCTGCCCCGCAGTTGGCAGCAGCAGAGGAGAAGCAGCCTATGGGGAAAGACGAGACGTCACCCTTGGACAAGTGAGTAGACAGGCGTGTAGAGCTGCCCAGGAGACAGCGGGCCCAGCGACTGAGGTTTTGAAGAGATTTGGACTAGAAATGTGGGCTTGGAAATTATCAGCACACAGATGTCACTAAAAGATGAGAGCAGAGGTAATCGGCCAGGGAGAGTTGGTGAGCGAAGAGGATGGGCCGAGGGGACAGAAGCTTCCTGAGAGCTGGGGGCGGGGGTGAGGAGAGCACAAGGAAGTGTCAAGCTGGAGCAGCTGAGAGGTGGTAGGAAATTCAGGAACCTCAAGGCGTGGGGGGCGGGATTTGCAGGGGTAAATGAGAGCTAATGCTGCCCAGAAGTCAATAACGATAAGACTGGATTAGCAACGAGGTTGATAGTGAGATCGGTGAGCTCGAAGAAGGGTGGGGATGAAAGATGGACCTAGAGACAGAAATGTGGGCAAGTCCGGTCCTTGGGAATGTGAGGAGAGGACAGACAGATACATGGATGGATGGGTGGACAGGTGGGTAGACAGATAACAAATGACAGATAAATGAACTGATGAAACATAAAAAGATAGCTAAATAATTGATAGAGTGGCTGATGGATGATAGAAGCGTGGGTAGATAAGAACAGATGGACGGGAGAGCTTCAGGGTCGTATTGACCTGGAAGCACCTAGGACACTTTACCTGCAGACTGAGGAGCCGTGAAAGAGGCAGGGATTGTGGCCGGGACAGAATGAGGACCTGGTGGGAGGAAGAGCAGCCTGCGCTGCCTCGGGAGGAAAGGAGGAGGTGGGTTCACCAGTGGTGTGACAGGAGCTGAGGGGGACCTTCTGGTGGCTTCTGTTTCTCTGTGAAGGAGGGACAAGGTTTGAGGAGAGAGGCGAGTGGGAAGAGCTGCATGAGGAAGTGCACAGACGCCCAGTGCCCCAAGTGTGACCTCCTATCTGTGCTGCTGGCATCCGGGGCAGCTCCAGAAGCCCAGAGCCTGCTGGGGTTTGCCAGGAGGCTGCACGGGAGGCCAGCCCGGTTACCATAGCAATGCCATGGAGCAGGTGCTTGGCACACACACACACACACACACAACGAGTGGCAATAAGAGGAACCCCTCTGCCTCCTCATCTCTCCATCCTGACCGGGACTCTACTCCTACATCACAAGGCTGTGGTGAGAACAGAGTGGGTGTGGTGTGAAAGTGCTCTGTGAACAGAGTACACGAAGGCCCGGGCGTGAGGTCATGGGTCACGTATGTACTGGCACACGGGAGGCACCTGGTAAACAGTCCCCGTGTGATTCATCCTTACACTGTGGGTGAGAGGAGCCACGGGGACTGCAGCTCTGTGACAGCCGAGGCCATAAACACCAGCTGAGCGCTATGCTGGCGGTGGACTCTGGCCAAAGGGACATGGTCATAGCTTCAGCAAAGGTGGGGCTTCTTCTAAGGCCACAGTCCTTCCTGGGCACTCGGCCCAGTCAGCAGACCTGGCCATGGACTTCCAGGAGACCCCACTGTCTGCGCAGGTCCCTCTCAGCTTGTGCAAAATACAGATCTCTGCTATTCTCCAGGCCCAGGCTCCCCGAGGGCTCCTGGGGCAGCACAGAAGGGTCAAAGAAGGTGACAAGTACAGAACAGGTGCCAGTACCACAGGCTTGGAGACTTTAATATCCCTCCGGCGGCAGTCGCCTGTGACAGACACTGGCACTGACCAGGGCTTTCTGAGTGACACAGAAGCTCCATTCAGTCATGCTGCGGGGAGGGGGTGTCCTGCCCACCCACTTCCTCCTGACTTTCTGAGGTGGTTCCTGACCACCCCTTGGCAGCCCGTGCACCCATGCACCTGACAGCTGAGTGGAAGACGGTGGCAGTGCTGATCTGGCCCTTCTCCACCCCGATGGTTTGTCCGTCCCCTGGGTCAGTCCAGCTCCGAGCCAGGCTGGCTCCACAGCTTGCACCGCTTGGGAGGAATGAGCGTCTCCCGGGAGCCCTGACGCTGGTCCAGGCTGTCCAGCGAGGACCTGAGGCTCTGGGTCCTAGCCATTCCCTCTGGGGACTCTCGCCCTCTCAGTAGCTCTGTAGCTGCCACCTCCACTTCCTCTGGTTCCATCTGGCAGGCATCTGCCAGGGCCTGGCCTGTTGCCATGACGAAGTTAGCATCCGCAGCCAAGGAGCCCAGGCCCCCTCGAACCAGAGCCTGCAGGGAAGACAGGGGGCTGGTGGGGTCTCTTTGAGGAGCCACCGTCAGGGGCTGCCTCTGTCGGCCCTGCCCTTTATGCCAGGCCGTCTCGCCTGCCTCGGTGCAGCCTGCTCCAGCCGCCTCGCCTCACCTCCTGGATCAGCAGGGTTGTAGCTGGAGCCTGGCACCTGGCATCGCCTTCCCGGGAGCGCCTGCTATGATGTGCTTCCTCGTGCAGAGGCCCTGGCGTGGAGCTCTTCTCCTCACTTGTAAATGTCTCCATCCTGAGGTGCTGTTGCAAACGCATAAAAGCAAAGACCCTGCTGGGGATGCTGAATCCCGCAATCCAGTAAAATCCCAACTCAGGCAAAGGAGCCTCATCCAAGATCCAGAGAAAGGGGCTGACCCAGGAACCCGGATTCTTCTGTTACAGATGGAAAACTTCTACCAGGCCTTTCCCTTGCCACAGCCCCCTCCTAACCCAAAGGTGGGGTCTCTTTGGATTTCTTCCCAGGCCTCTTTGCTGTTACCTGGCAGGGGGCAGGAGGTGCCTGGCCTCCAGGCATTCCCCGGGTGGTCAGCTGTCCTCTCAGCCTTTCCATGAGAGGTTTGTTGTGGGCTCCTGTGGACAAGGGGGTGTCAGGACAAGAGGGTCTGCTGGGACCCCCACGTCAATGCAGTCTTGCTTGGCTAGCTGCAGAATGTAGCTGAGAAAGTGGACACATGTGGGGATCCAACCAGCTGTAGGCCAGGCAGAACTGTGCCAACTCTGTCTGTCCTCCTCTCTGTCCTTGTGGGTTTGGGAGAGATGCCTGGGGCCAGTCTCCAGCCAAGCTGTCCTTCGGTGTGTCGGTGCACGCACATGTGAATTGTGTGTGTTAGAGGGCAGAGGACGTACCCTTATCATCACTGAATCCCAATATGTCACTGAATCCTGCTGCCACACGGTAGTTGAGGACCCGCTGGAAGACTGAAAGATCACCTGCTGGAGGTGCCAGAGCCAAGGTCCAGGGCTACCCTTCTAGGGTACTGCGGGAAGGGGAGCCTCCCATGCTGGGGTGGCGCGTGGGGACTGGGTGACTTTTCTGGCAGGCTTGTGCAGGGCCTGTCAGAGCGCACCTGCTTCCCCCTCCCACACGGCTCAGCTACCTAGCTGGCCTACTTCAGTGCCTGGATGAGGAGGGAGCCGCGGGGGCCCCTCCAGAGTCTACAGTTCCCTCTGTTACAGCCTCCCAATCCAGGCCTCCCAGCTGGTTTCCGGACTCTGGGGAAAGAGGGAGGCACCACAGGCTTTCTTAGGAGAAGGCTCGGCTTCTCAGGGGCACAGAAGGGACTGACCGAGCTCCCTACAGGCTTGGCCGAAGGCTCCTCCCCTAGCTGCAGGCGTCTCTGTCTCTTCTAGAAACTCCCTTTCGTAGTGGACACTGAAACGGAAGGAAACAAGACTGGGTGAAGCAGAGCAGGCTGCTGACTCTTCCGCCGTCTGCGACCCAAACATCACTGTGCAGTGGCCTTCACCCCAGGGCTTAGGGGCCCAAGCCCAGTGCCTCCCTGCCACCTCTCCTGCTGTGCTTCCCTCCACCTCCACTACATTCTGTGCAGCCTCACACCCTTGAGAATTCTGCATGGGGCTCCTCAACCGTGGCTGCACATAGGGTCACCTGGGAGTGCAGGGATTTTCCAGAGCTTCCTAGATGTTTCTAAAACAGAGCTGAAGCTAAGAACTGTTCTAGACCTTTCCAGCCCCTGGTGATCAATACTCCCTTTGTACTCTTGGAACACCTAATCTCGGCATTTATTTGGTCACAGTCATATCTTACGTCACATCTCCCAGCGGCCGGGCCCAGCTCTGATGCTTCTGAATTTTCACACCACCTTGCACCATGGCGACCCAAAGGCATGTGCACCCTTCAAGGGGCATGGGTGTAAATCCAGAGCCTCTCTGGCTGCAAGGGGGTGCAGGCAGCCCTGGCCACGGGAAGTATCCATTTAGCTGACTTCTGCCCTGCCCTGCCCTGCCCAGAGAACTCTATTTGACTGGCCTCTTGTCTAGAACAGAAGCTCTGCTTAGAGCCCAGCCCCTGAGTTGCAAAGGCCGAGCTGCTCCCTTCCCCCAGGCAATCAGAGATTATATTTAGTCTACAGCCCGGGGTTGGGGAGATGGGAGCTACTCAGTGCACTGAGATCTCAAATCTAATAAACGAACCTTAGCATCTAGTTTTACATAGTAGGCGCTCCTCCTCCCTGGAGGATCTTTAAATGGCCAAGGCGTCTCCGCTCCTAGACCAGCTGTAGACTACAGGAGACCCACTCAGTGTCTGGCCAAAGTTGACATGATGCTGCCCCCTGCTGGCCAGAGGAGTCTCTTCAGTTCGGATCTGTCTGCCATTAAAATGCAGGATAATCCCCAAGAGCACAAAGGTAAGTAAAGGGCACCTTACAAATTTCAGGGTGTCCCCTACTGATCTAGCCTGGTCTCAGTCCGATCCCAGCACTCCTACACCCAGAGCTGGCAGCTTCTGCCGTTACCTGAAGAATGCCTGGCTGTTGCTATGGCTGCTGTTGCCACAGGCAACATTGGCATTGGCGTTGTTGGCGTTGGCACGAGCAAGAGGGTTGGTTCTTGGATCATGAGGGAAGTCTTCTAAGAAGACGGGTGACTCCAGCTCCTCCATATCTATTTCAGTAAACTGGAGGGGTCTCTGGTTGGCCATGGCCGCGGGCAGAGAGTTGGTCCTTTCTAGGAAGTTGTCCACTTGGCCAAACAGGCCTCCCGTCCTCTAGAGGCAAGGAGGAGAGTGTGAGGACTGAGAGTCAAGTCTGGGGGGTGAGGGCAGGCAGTGTGCCGTCCACGTGGGATGAGGTGCTCGGCGCAAGTGAGAGGGCTGGGAGACGAATCCCAAGGCCAGAGGAGAATGGGCCAAGTGCTGAGAGCAGAAGGAAAGAGGATCCCCACCTTCAGAATGGTCTCAGTTTGGTGGTGTAGACAGGACACACCTCAGGAAATGGGCAGGAGACATGAACGTACAGGGAAAAACTGGGTGGTGGAGGGAACACTGAGTTGGGAGTCTTCAGAGTTGGGGTCTAGGTTCCTTTTGAAGCTAAGTGATGCTGGACATCTCACGGCATTTCTGGGTCCCCATTTTCTCATGAGTATCGAAATCACTTCAAAAAGGTGACCAGGAAGGATCTCCCACGTCTCAATGGTTACAGAAGGGTGGACAAAGTTCAGGCTGGATGATGACAGGTGGCAGGTTCCCCACAAGGTCTTGTGGGAAGGTGGAGGAGGTGTGTGATGTTGACACCTTGGGTAGGAGGGAGGTGGAGGGAGGGCGTCTTCAACACCCCTGTCCCCTTCTCTGTCGCTGTTCAGGGTCTGGGCCACTAGGGGCGCTCGTGGCCCTCACTCACCCGGAATATTCCCTCCTCCATCGCAGCCTCCACCATGGCTCTCTCCAGCTCCTCCTCTGCGGTCAGGTCTCCTGAGATGGTACGATGGATCTCGGGGGCAGCCTCTTCCTCTATGGTCCGCAGTCCAGCCTGGGCAGGGGGAAGTGACCCGGTGATCCCTCCAGTCCAGGAGTGGAAACAGAACTGCTTCCCTGGCTCTGCTTTTTTTTTTTTTTTTTTCCCAAGTGGTACTGGGGATTGAACCAGGATCTTAGCACTGAGGTACATCCCTAACCCTTTCAAAATTTTTATTTTATATTTTAAAAATTTTGAGACAGGGTCTCACTAAGTTGCTAAGTTGCCCAGGCTGGGGTCAGATTGACAATTTTCTTGCCTCAGTCTCCTAGAGTGCTAAGATTACAGGTGTGCACTACCATGCCTGACTTCTGCTCATTTCTAGTCCTTGCATCTGGAGCTTTCCCAAAGCCTGCTCCCTTCCTGGCTCACGCAATGTCCTAAGGCTCTGTGAGGCCCCCAGATCCCACCCTGGCCTCTTTGAGTATCTATACCTGAAAGTTTCCCTGAGTCTTTCCTCAAACCTACAGGTAGAGATTTTGTATCCTCCCCAGGGCTCCAGGCTGAGAAATCTCTTTACTTACTACAGTTTTTTGTTTTGTTTTGTTTTGTTTTTAGCTGACCAAAGTTCATATCACCAGCAGAACAAATCAAATTTGGTGCCATTGCATAATTTGCAACGAGGACACAGCACCACTTTTGTGAGATTCTTATCCAAGATGTGTATTTTCTGTGTGGCACAAGGGAACACTGGACAAACCCAGCCTCAGGGCATCCTGTCCCATAAACTTTGAAAGTGTCAAGGTCATGTGAAAGGAAGACCAAAGAACTGTTCCAAATAGAAGAGACTAAGAAGACACCGCAACTAAATGCAATGTGAGATTCTGCATTGGAACCTCTTGACAAAGAGGACATTTGGGGAACCAGGGAAACTTGAATGAGCTCGGAGGATCAGATGGTAACATATCAAAGTTAATTTCCTGATCCTGATGGTTCTGTGGTGGTTATGTAGGAGAATTATACAGGAGAATATCCTTGTTTGAAGGAAATACACATTCAAGTGTTTTGGGTTGATGGAACATCTCTCAAACAGTTCAGAAAAGAAGGTTTTCGGTATCATACTTGAAATTTTTAAACTATTTCAAAATAAAAATAGCAAGTGACATAAATCATCGAGCACACATCTCAAGCGCATGTGTTTTTAAATTATGTGCATTACAATGAACATGAAACATAGGAATAAAAACCAAGTGAGATAAAACACAAAGATTTTTTTCTTCACACCCAAGGGAGTATTTTAAGAACCCTTGGAGGATCTGCATTCTTTGGAGCCCACGGCTACTCCCTAACTTGTCTCTCCCTTGAACAAGCACTCTCTTCCTTGGTCCCACCATCCAGAAATGATAAACTCCTGCATCTTCTCATCCAGGTGAAATGTCTCCCGTCACAGACATGCAGAATTATTGCCTTTCCTCACTCCTCAGAGCCTCCTTCTGTCCTCTCTGTCTCCATCCCTGGCCCAAGGACACAGAGAGAGACCTGGAGCCTGGAGTCACTTGAAACTTGCCTGGGTTGGGCTTACCTGGATCTGTACGGTGTCCTTCTTGGGCCGATACCCATAATACTCCTCCTGGCGCTTCATGAACTTCCGGAAGTGCTCCTGGATGAGGAATGTGGCATAGAACTTTCCCACTGTCACCTCGTCATCTGCAGAGGAGCCAACAAAGGAGGTGCTGAAGGCTGGCGGAAATCTGACACTGGGTTTGGAGTGAGAGCCAGGCCTGGGCACCCTGCGCCCTCCCCGTCTTGCTGAGTTGGTCAGTGGGCACTTTTCACCCTGAGGCTGGTGGCTGCCCTGCTGGGTGCCCGCGGGTCCGTCTACAATGTTTTCAGATTCTCAGGGGACTTCTTGGAAAGGCCCCTCACCCCTTTCTCGTCTGTTCTGTGTCCTCTCCAGGGCGGCACCCACCTCCTATTGGAGGGATGACCTGGTCCAGGAGCTTCATGCTGGTTCTCTTCCAGATCTTCTTGATGATGGCTCTCAGCTCCTCATTGGCCTGCTCAAAGTTACCTGGGCAAGGGAAGGGCAGGAATGGCCCCAAATCCATCCAGGCCAAGCCACTGGCAAGGCGATCCACTACCCACTGGTCCTCTCTGAAATCCATTCACTAAGTAAACACTGGCGTGGTATTTCTTTTTTAAAAAAATTTCTTTTTATTTATTTGATTTGATTTTTTGAGACAGGGTCTCACTTTGTAGTTCATGCTGACCTTGAACTCACTATGTAGCCCAGGCTGGTCTCAAACTCTTGGTGATCCTTCTGCCTCAGCCTCTCTGGGATTACAGGCATGAGCCACCTCGCCTGGTTCTTGGTATTCTTTATAGTGGTTATGGTGCTGGGTAGGGACGAGGACAACATAGTCCCCGAGGCAGCCAGCCCTTGGGTCCTGTACGCATCCCTCACAGCCTCGGCCCATCATGCCCCGCCCTAACTTGCTGCTCTCCAACTCATGCCCTTCGTCTTGCCCTCACAAGGAACCTGCCCGTGGCCCGTGTCCTGCTGTAAGATGAACCTGATGCAGCTGGAGCCCTCAGCGAGGAGCCCAGGGACGACGGCAAACCCCAGCGACTCCTCTAACAGACAGTGCTCCCACGTCTGTCTGCCTAGCAGGTGAGGACCCCCAGGCTTAGGGGGTCAAGATGGACTCCCATCAGACTGCCCAGTACTACCTGGTCCCTCCTCTGCCCCTGCCTGGAGCCCACCTCAGGGAACCCATGACTCTGTGCCAGCACTGGCGGACACATCCTTAGTGATCCTTTCCTGCAGAGATTTCTTGAGCTCCCTCTGAGCCTGAGGGGCAAGAGGACTCCACGGCCATAGGCTGGGCTCCCTCTGCTTCTTCCATGGCTCTTGATTCCAATCTTTACTCTGAGAAGCTGGAAGAACCCATGCCAGAAAGCATCGTCCATGGGGAGGCCTCACCTTCTGTCTTGATTTTGAGGGCTGTGCGCACCAGGGCAAAGAGTGTGGCATTGAAGGTGACTGTGCCGTCGCTGTTCAGGGGCATGTTCATGCCCACCAGCCGCTGTGCAGGGAGAGGCAGAGAATTGCTGCAGAGCTGGGACCAGGCCCAGCCTGGCAGGTCATCCTCACCCAGGCTGTGGGCCAGGAGGGGATGGGACATGAGGGCTGGGGTGTGGGCTGACCAGGATGCGCTCCACAGGAGGATGGGCTGATGACTGGGGACACTGCCAAGGCTTTAGGTCACAGGGAGGGACTTGAGGACTTCTGTAATTTGGCTCTTAATAGAAGTCCATGGGTAAAGGCTTGGTCCCAGGGGCCACTACTGGGAAGTAATGGAAACTAAGGATGGGGACAAGTGGGAGGCTTTAAGTCAGTAGGGTGTGCACTCCAGATGGCAGGACCTGAGTCTCTTCCTCTTCCAATGAGGTGGATAGTTTTGTTCCATCATTCACTCCCACCAGGATGCACTGACCCACAGCCCCACCATACACCTAAAAGCAATGGATCTGCCTGACCTCAGACAGAACCCCCTGAAACTGTGAGCCAAAATGACCCTTTTCTCCTTATAATTTGACTATCTGAGGTATCTGTTACTGACCAACACAGGGATCCTGGAAGTCATTGCTCTAAAGTGAATCAGACCATCAGGTCTTCGCCAGCTTTCCCACCCCTTGGCACCTGCACCTCTCCCTCCTGGGCGATGCTGGTTACCTTACATGCAACCCTGTGTGGGCAGAACTTCCCAAAGCCCAGAGGGGGCTGGATCCTTCTCAGCAGGGTCACCACATCCAAGTGCTTGATTCTCCCCCTGTAGGACAACACAGACATATACACCTGGCAGCCACCAGAAGCTCCCAGCTGCCCACGGTGGGTAAAGGGGAGGGGAGCAGAGACAGGAGACATGCGGAGGAAGGGGCAGCCTTGAACCCTTTTAACAGACGAGACAATGTGAATATATAGCTGCCCACTACCAGGAACAGACTTTGCAGGGGGTGCAGAGAGAGGCTGACTTCTGGGGGGTGGTTTCTCAGATAGGGGATCTCCAGCCCTGGAATCTGGGTCTCATTTTTCCCGTGCCAAGACCTTCCTGAGGTTTTGGTCAACCTGATGGAGGGGTGGGAAGTGGTGGTCTCGGGCTATATGAATAGAAGTATAAGGATCAAGAGAGAGAAAAGGCCATCTAGAGACTGGTCCAGAGCCAGAAGCCACATTTTTGTTGTGACCGTGACCCTCTAGAATTGGCACAAAGCGGAGCAACCAGGAAGGTCATAAAGAAGGGACCAAGGTGAGGGCAGAAGGTGTGTGTGGTTTTGAGAAAAATCATTTCGGAAAGTCCTGCTGCCTTTCTCTTTCCCTGAGCGGGCTGTGACAGAGACCGTGCCCGACACCTGGAGAGCATTCGGTAAATGTGAGCTTATCTTTTTTTTTTAGGCAGAGTGTAAGAACAGTGTCTCCCAAACTTTAATGTGTATGTGGGTGCCCTGAGGATCAGGGCTCAGTCCATCTAGATGGGGCCTGGACTCTGCCTTTCTAATCAGGCTTGGATGCCGTTGGTTAGTGGGGCTCTGGGGGTGGCCAGGCTTACAGTTCCTGGTGAGGTACTGAGTTTCCCACTCCTAGGACTATCTAAGCAGAATTCAGGTGACGGTTTCCCAAGAAAGTCAGTGGTCTGCTCCCCCAGGAGGCCGTGGCATCCCTTCCACCCCCGAGACACTAATTTCCTTGGCTGAGACCTTGACTAGATGAAGAGTGAGACTCCCTAGCGGACATCAGGGCTGGGAGCGGGATGGAGGGATGGATTGCTCAGGGAGGGCCCAGCACAGAGCCTACAGACCGTACTCACTTGGCCTCTGGGTCATACTCAGCCCAGATGGCCTTGAACTCATCCAGGTGGTGAGGGCCCAGGATGGACCAGTCCCGTGTGAGGTAGTCAAAGTTGTCCATGATGACAGCCACAAAGAGGTTGATGATCTACAAGAGAAGGACCAAGGGCTCCCAGGGGAAGGGCAGGAGATGCAGGGGCAACAGGGAGCTGGAAGGTGTCTGCCGGCCGTGGGGGTACAGTTTCTACCTCCCCGCACCCCGCTTGCCAGCCCTTTTACATAACCCACATTCCACACACCAGCAAGACTGCCTGCCTCTGTGCACCTGCACGGGCGGGCTCGGCCAGGGTCCTGGGCTCATTCCTTAGAACCGACCTTGAGAGTCTCCTCAGGATCTGCTCCAACCCCAACCCCACCCAGAGAGGCTCTGTTCCCACCTCTGTGCCCTGGCCCATGTCCTTCTCGCTGCTCTTGCCTTTTCTGTCCATGTTGGGGAATTGAGTTGCAGATCTAAACTATCCAAGCCTAGATCTAAAAAGCCCTCAAAATTCTTATATGTGTGGAAGGTCAGTGGATCGTGGGGTTGTTAAACTCTCAGTGGACTCATCATTGATGAGTTCAGTAGCTGCTGTGTGGCTGGGAAGTGGAGCCTGGTGGAGGTGGTCGCTCTGCCTTCTTGTCCCTGTCTCTTCCCTACATCCTCTGCTTCCTGCAGAGGAATGGCCCCTTGGCATGGGTTGAACACCTTTTCCTCTACCATGCCCCCTCTGCCCTCCTGTTTCTGCCCTAGAGTCAGCTGATGAGGGACTGAAACTGTGAGCACATATAAACCTGTCCTCCTTCAAGCTGTGGGTGTCCAGCGATGGCAAAGAGAGTGAGACAACTCCCTTGTCCCTGTGACCTCCAACGGGGCTGGGGCTGGTCTAACTCATGTTTCCATCCCCCATCTCTGGCCCAGAGCTTGCCGTATACCAGATACTCCGACAACAGTTTTGAACAAATGCAGGAAAAGAAGAAGTGTAGGAAGAGGGCCCATGATGCCTTCCATATGGACAGACAGCAATCCTGCAGTCTCAAGGTGGCCCAGGGCTCTCCTTGTAACCCCACTGGGACCCCTGTGGGACCTGTTTCTGGGATCTCAGCCTCCTCACTATGGGGAAGCTTCTCTTCTGAGGAACAGTCTGTTTGAGAAATAGTTAGGTGTCAATGTCTTCATCGGAAGCCCCTACTTAGTTAGGACCCGGCCCCATTAAATGCCTTTCCAGTATCAGCTGCTAGTGAATATACACATAAGAGGTACGTACACTATGAATACAATGAAAAC